CGCAGCCGGACAACCTTAACGTCCTTCAGCGACCAGCTGTTGCATGCTCGTCAGCAGCAGAGCACACAGCTGCAGAAGAGCTACATGCGACAGCGCCCGACCACGGGGCTGGAGCCCACGGCACCAAGGTGACAAAAGCCGGATGCGAGAGCAGTCGGAGGTTATTCTCCTGGAGTTCAGGAAGAGGCCAAACGACGTGCAGGCCTCGAAGTCCAGGCGCTTCTCATCTGTGGCCTTGACGCTTCGAGTCCCACCTGGAGGGACAGACGTGGAATTCGGAGGTTTCGTGCGGTTGTGTTTCTTGAGCTGGACGCTGGTGCGGGGACAGGCGCGCTGCGGGAAAGGCTGTGAAGCTGTCGACTGACGATCACAAGCTCTCGTGTGGAACACGGGACTTTGCAAACCCTTTATGTGAGAAATGGCCAGGTGAGCGGCTGGAGCTTGGTATCGGTCCTTGCGGGTGTTGAGGCGAACCCAGAGCCGCGAACGGGGAACGCCACCGTGGTAGGTTCCAGGGGAGAGCGTCTGGGTGAGCCCCGCGCGGCTGCGAGGGGAGTGGCACCCGTGCATGGAACTCTGGCATTCTAGGAGGAGGCCTCGGGTGGAGCCTGGGTCAGGTGTCACTGGTGGGCCACGGCCGTGGGGCTGGCTCACCAGTGGAAGTCCTCACAGTTTCGGGGGACCCTACTTGGGTCGGCACATCTAGTCTGTGATGCGGAGCGGGGCAGCGTCAAGGGTGCATCAGCGTTTAAAAGTAGGGCCAGGAGCTGGGGACTCCAGGTTGAGGGGCCCAGCAAGGATCTCATCCTAAAGAGGCCACACCAATCGCAGGACATCACCGAGGATACACTGACCGTGGACTCCCCTTGAGGCTCGGCATGGTCTTGGTGCGTGAGCTAAACGTGGTCCTGCTGTGCGTTGTTCCTGGAGCCCAGAATCCTCGTGACAAAGAATGAACAGGGCGTTTCCTTAGCGTGGCCCCGTGACAGGGTGCTGCCTAGCACTTAGCGAGGGCCAGAGCACAGATGAGGTGGCTGTGCAGCTGGAAAGCCATCCCTGGAGACGCTGCTCATGGAGTGACCGGACCCTCTGGCAGACTTGGATGTTCTTTCTCAGTCACGAATTCTATGACGTGGTAACATTCGAGGGTGGGGAGTGTGGGTTGGAGCGAGTTATGATGAACGTGCTCTGATATTTGCGAGCAGAATATGTGAACTTGATGATCGCCATTTCTTCTCATCTGTTCTTTTAGGTTTGAGCAATCGCGAATTACTCGTTTACAAGAACTGTACGAGCAACTGCACGTTTCTGTATAAGGCAGAAACGCCTCCTGAAGCCCCGAGAATGGTGACGACAAATAATTTCTATTGGGTGCGTTGCTGTAACTCCATGACTTGCAACGAAGGAGGGCCCACCCTCGAGAGAGACATCTTAACCGAGGAGACGGTCGAGGAGGAGATCGAGGGCGCCGTGCGCTTCGGGGAGTCAACGTCCTTCTTGATCTTTGTCTCCACCCTGGTCAGCAGTGTGTTGACGTGAGACGCCCTCTTTGGAGGGTCTCGTCTCGACCCTCACCCCATTCCTGAGCGCAAGTTCACCCTTCTTTGCTCTCTTGTGAACCAGAGACACTGACTCCCAGGGCCCCGCACTGGCGTGTTCCCCATTCACGGCTTATTTCGAGAGAGAATAAAGAACATCATCATTTGAGCGCTGCGAACTCGGAGTGCTTTGTGGTTTTAGTATCCGATGTGTTTTGTCTTTGGCCATCGTCTCACACGTAGACCAAAAACATCTCGTCACTTCAGCATCAGAGATCTAGATAGAGATGCCTGCCTTCTGTGGGTGTCATTGTCCCCGCCCCTTCCCATAAACACCCCTCGCCTTCGTCTCCTTACCCATAACATGTTTGGGTTTCTGCCCAAATTGGGGCTTCCCAGTCGCTGTTCTCTGGGATTCAAACGAATGCCTCTTGGCCCACTTCGGCCTTTTGCCTTCAGGTTAACAGATCGAAAGTACACGTTATGGAGATGGTCACACCCCAGGCAACCAGCGACCTAGAGGAGACAGCCGCACGCGTGACGTTCGGAAGGGAGACGCGAGAGCGTTTTCAGGGGACAGGACGAGGGCTCCGTAGGGCAGAGAGCGGGGATTCTCCTTGCCAAGTGCTCAACAGGCCCCCTAGACGGATGGAAAGGCGAGAGCAGCCACGGGGGCAGCCGGACGCGTCTCACAAGCCCCCGGCTTTCAGTGGCTTCTCAAGTGACCACCTGGAACAGCGGCATCAGGCAAGGTCAAGGGCATTGCAGGAGAGAAAGCGTCAGGTTTACACACCTGCCTGGCTTAGGCCGTGTGGATTCAGCTTCTAATGGCGAGATTGAATAAAACCTTTCTCACCTTCGATGCTCCGCCCCATTCCAAGCTGACGAGCCAGGTGGGTGGCAGGAGAGGAAAAGGAAGCAGCAGAGACACACGCATGCGCACACCTCCCAATGCTCTCTCCAGCCCGATGGAGACCCAGACTCAAGCAGTGAGCTTTGCATGTTTAAACGTGAAGGACCACGGAGGATGTAAACAAAATGACGGAAGCGAGGCACAGAGGTAGGCGATGACCCCAGGGAGGAAACAGGAAGCACTCGGGCGCGGCGTGTGGACAGCCGGTGGGTCCTGTAAGGCGCCGGCGGCGTCTGTGGCATCAGAGGCCCCGGTGGGGACGGGCCCGGGGAGCTGGGCAGCCGCGGTGTGCGCGCAGGGCGGCTGTGCTCGGGGCGAAACGCGGGCCTTGGCTCGTTGGGGAAAGCCTGACTCCAGACCCAGGGCACCCGCGACCGCGAGGCAGGCCCCGTTCTCGGTCCGGCTGGGAAGCAGCGGCGGGCCAGCAGCGGCAGGCCCACAGCCTGCACGTGGCCTTTCTTTTCTCCCAGAGCCGCCAACGGGGGCTGCGCAGGATGCCCTGGCCCCAAGTGAGCGGGAGCTGCGGTCACTTGCTGACCCTTGCACTGTGTGGCGTTTGTTTTGCTGGTCGGCTGAGGGTGGTCACACAGCAGCGTGAACCCCGTGTGGGTGGGAGCCACATGTCTGCGTGGAGCTCTGCATCTCCCCTGCCTGGACGGTGGTACAGCGCTTCCTCGTCTGCACAGACCTGGGGCCTGGGGGCCCTGCCCTCAGCCGGTACAGCCCAAGGACGGGAGAGGCCACTGTCCACGTGACGGACCAGCCAGCTGGGCTCTGCCCCACCAACCCAGGGGAGGGGGGTGGTCCTGCTCTGGGCAGGGAGGAGGGCTGACCCGGACCAGTGCCCACAGGAGCCCACACATCCCAGCTTCTGTGCAGAGACAGGGAGGAGGCCTGGCGTGCCCCTCCACTGTCTTCGTGACAGCGGACCTTGGGAACATCTGCCACATTCAGGTGACTTTGCCCCTAGCCTCGCCCCGTGATGCCTCTGACCTGTGTTCTTGTGCATACACCACCGGCAGGTGCTCAGCAGGGCAGAGGGTCAGGACTGAGGACCGCCCCGCCCCCCCCAGGCACCTCTGTGCGCTCAGGCGGCGGGCGGAGTGGCACGGGGCGCAGGACGCGGAGCACCTTCCGCGCTGTCCGCGTCGGAGCCGAGGCTCTGCAGGAGAGTCCTGGGACCCTCCAGCTGGCTCGCGGCTGGGGGTCTGGGAGGCACCAGGACCTCAGCACTAGGACAGGAGCGTTTGGTGCTGGCACATCCTGGTCAGAGCCATCTCCGCAGTTCCCCTGGACAGGAGAGGTGGCTTCGGGGGCCGACCCGCATCCCCAGCTTCCTTGGGGCACGCTGCATTGGGTCATGGAAAGCTGGCACGTGTCTACAGCCCCAAGAGCCCCAAGAACAGGCCAGAAGAGAGCAACGGGGTGGGGTGGCGGGCAGCACAAGGGGTGTCTGGCGAGGCTGGGCTCATGTACCCATGCGTCAAGGGCAGGCTGCGCTCCAGCCGCGTCCCTGCCCAAGGACATTTGGGGCTGAGGCGCATCACGCATCTCCACCGGCTGAAGGCGTCATGGCAGGGTCTGACCCACGGCCGCAGCTGAAAGGGCCCCCAGGAAGGATCAGGAGCGGGCAGTGGGCTGGAGTGCAGTGAACGAGGACCACCACCCAGGGCCTGGCCCTCCCTGCTGGGACTCACACGGACCCCGCGTCCGGCCTTCAGAATCAGAGCCGCGGCCTCCCTGCCCCAGCCTGCCCTTCAGGCCACCCAGAGAGGGCACGGGGCCCTGGGCCTGTCTTCTCATCTGAAAGTGGGGACGGCGATGGCCATACCTGTCTCGGGGGGATGCTGCCGGACGTCGGTGAGACAGCGGGACCGAACGCGGGCCGGCCCTCCCCGGGCCTGCCCAGCTGCGTGCCTGCCAGGGGAGTCCAGGGGCTCGGGAGCCATGGCCACGCCCATCCCAGCTGCCATGCTCCTGCCCTTGGCCGGAGCTGGGAGACTGCACCCCTGAGAGCCCGCTGCGGGGTGGGCAAGGAGGGCACGTCCGCCGAGCACAGGGCCCCATGCAGGGCAGGTGGGGACAAAGGCCAGCGGCACCCGTCATCTTTCGGCCGCCCCGCCAGCCCCCCAGACCTCCTGGGTCTTCACTGCCCCTTAGCCGGACCAGACAGACGGGGCCCCGGCCGCCCTGCTGCCACCCCGAGTCGTGTCTCTGGATTCTTAACTTCCTCCAGGGGGCTAAACGCCCTCACTCGGAGGGACCCTTGGTGGCCCCAGGCTGCGCTCCCCACTGCCAGCATGAGGCATGGGTCCACAGAACGTGCGTGCGTGGAACGGGCGGAACGCACAGCCCGCCTCGCCGCTTCCTGCTCTGGTCCTATTTTTATCCAGGAGATAAAAATACCCAAGGCTCCCGGTCATCTCTCGATAAGACAAGGGGCTCGTCCCTCCTGCTTCTCTCACACATGGAGAGGACGGAGGGGCCCCGCGTCCGCCCCAGCCTGCTTCAGGCCCCTGTCCTCCACCCGCGCCTGCTCTGGACGCCCGCCACCGCAGGCCTTGCGCAACTGTGGGCCAGGCGGCCGGCCAACTCCACTTCCTCCGCGAGCTGGAGGCCTCTGGCCCTGACCCTGTCCCGGGCTTCCTGGCCCAGTCCAGGGACGGCCACTTTCTCCCGTGACGCCATCAGCCTCCCAGGCCAGGCCAGGCCTCCCCATGAGATAAAAGGCCGGGGCCGAAGGGTGGAGGGGCACAGGCATGGCGCTGCGGGCCAGGGCAGGCGTGTGGAGGGCAGCGCCCCGGCTGTCCCCGGGCTGGGCCCGCGCGGTGGGCGCCGCAGCAGTGGCAGCCCCCAAGGCGGTGCTGCCCTTTGAGGCCATCCCCCGGTGCCCAGGCAACAAGTGGGTGAGGGCGCTGCAGGTCTGGAGAGAGCAGGGCTTCGAGGACCTCCACCTGAAGATGCAGCAGACCTTCCAGGAGCTGGGGCCCATCTTCAGGTGACGCCCTCCCTGCGTGCCCCGCTGAAGGCGCCTGACTCCCCACGCACTGGCTGCTGGGTACTTGCAGGGTGCCCTGTGCTGCCGTGACCCCGCCGGGCACCTGTGCCCTGCACCCTCGGGAAGGCGGGCCCGGTGGTGGAGGGGCTGCGCCCTCGACAGTGGAGCCCACGGCTCTTCGTGAGGACGGAGAGCCCCACGGCTCAGTGCTGACGGCGCAGCGCACGAAGGCGCCTGACTCCCCACGCCCTGGCTGCCGGGTCCTTGCAGGGTGCCCTGCGCTGCCGTGACCCCGCCGGGCACCTGTGCCCTGCACCCTCGGGAAGGCGGGCCCGGTGGTGGAGGGGCTGCGCCCTCGACAGTGGAGCCCACGGCTCTTCGTGAGGACGGAGAGCCCCACGGCTCAGTGCTGACGGCGCAGCGCAGACGCGAGAATGGGCGGGAGGATGCGCCTGCTCAGGACCACGGGCCGGGGGCGTGGCGGGCCCGGGTGGGGCGGACAGGCCCTCACAGCAGGGCTTGACTCTGTCCCACAGGTACGACGTGGGAGGGAAGCACATTGTGTATGTGACGTTGCCCCAGGATGTGGAGAGGCTCCAGCAGGCGGACAGCTGCCAGCCCCAGCGGACGGTCCTGGAACCCTGGCTGGCCTACCGACAGCAGCGCGGGCACAAGTGTGGCGTGTTCCTGCTGTGAGAGCGCGTCTGCGTGCGGAGGGCCTACCAGCTCGGACGAGCGCCCGTCCGGGCGGTCCCGCGTGCCCTGGGCTGGGGAGGGGAGCGAGGCCACGCCAGGGGCCTGAGCAAGGCCAGTCCTTCGGCCTGCAAGGAAGCAGCAGCTGCCACTCGGGAGCACCCACTCCGTGCAGGCCTCTCCCGCAGGTCGGCCTCCTGCCCTTCTACAGGTCAGGGGGCCCAGGCCTGGAGAAGGGGAGTCGCTGGCCAGGGGCACACGCTGGCATGTGCTGGAGCCTGAGGGTCCACCAGGTTGTCAGCCTCCATGTGGGGCCCCGTGGGGCCTAGAGTTGAGGCAAACTTCCCTCAGGTGGGAGAGTCCCGGGCCCCATCGCAGACGTGCGTGCCCCGGGCACAGCACACTGAGGCCTCCCCGGAGGAGAGTGGTCTGGCCCGGCTGGAAGGCGGGCAGCCTGGCCAACTAGAGCCAGAGGCAGCTCCCTGCCTCGCCTGTGTCCCTTTGGGGGTGAGGAAGATGGCCACGGAGCTGGGGGCCAGCTGTTGGCTCGGGCTGCCCTGAAGCTTGCTCTGTGCTCTACAGAAACGGGCCCGAATGGCGCTGGGACCGACTGCGGCTGAACCCGGATATGCTGTCGCCACAGGCCGTCCAGAAGTACATCCCCATGGTGGACAAGGTGGCGAGGGATTTCTCTGCGGTCCTGATGTCGAGGGTGCTGCAGAATGCCCGGGGGAGCCTCACCCTGGACATCCAGCCCAGCATCTTCCGCTACACCATAGAAGGTATGCACTCCGAGGGCAGGGGCCGGCTCAGGAGCCACAGCAGGCGGCCGGGAGGCCCTGGGCTGCTGTCTGCTCAGCGGACCCCTGCTCCCCACAGCCAGCAACTTGGTCCTCTTTGGAGAGCAGCTGGGCCTCCTTGGCCGTAGCCCAAGTCCAGCCAGTCTGAAATTCATCCATGCCCTGGAGGCCATGTTCAAGTCCACCGTGCAGCTCACATTCATGCCCAGGAGCCTGTCCCGCTGGACAAGCCCCAAGGTGTGGAGGAAGCACTTTGAAGCCTGGGACTACATCTTCCAGTATGGTGAGGGCCGGGGGCCGGGCTGTGCAGTGTGGCAGGGGTACGGGGGCCCGCAGTCTGGGGCTGAGCTGAGGCTGTGCAAAGGGCCATGGCTTCTTCTTGGGCCCTAAGGCAGTTGGCAGGGCTGGGCTGACCAGGGGACTTGGGTAGGAGACATAGTCGGGTGCCAAGGGCTGGCAGGTAGGAGGGCGACCGGAGGCAGTGCCCTCCACCTCCAAGCCCAGGGCGCTGTCTCTCTGTGCCCACAGCCAACACTTCCATCCAGAAAATCTATCAGGAGCTGGCGCTCGGCCGCCCACGGCAGTACAGCGGCATCGTGGCAGAGCTGCTCCTGCAGGCGGACCTGACTCTGGATTCCATCAAGGCCAACTCCATCGACCTCACTGCCGGGAGCGTGGACACGGTCAGGCCAGCCGCCAGCCCGGCCCATAGAGCACGGAGCCTGCCTCGCTGCAGGCAGCGTCCTCCCGCACCAAGCCTGTGCCTCCAAGACCTCCCGCCTTAGACCGCGGCTTCTGAACTGCTGGGCGGCTTTGAGGGCAGGGCGCACGAGAGCGACTCTCAAAGGGGAGGGTTTGCAGTTACTTGTGGGGGAAACCAGGCTCCAGGCAGACCGCGGGGTGCCCAGGCCTGGGAATGGACAGCAGTGCAGGCCCCATTTGGATGATCAGGGTTTGGGGACGAGGAGCATGTCCAACACACAGCCAGAGGGCTGCACAGGGGACCCTGACCGGTGATAGATGACATCTCCCGTGTGGGTGACAGGCTGGTGGTGACAGGCTGGTGGTGACAGGCTGGGAAGCACAAGGTTCCACCTAGAAGAGAAAGCAGATGGCAGCACAGCATGGCGGGCGGGGCGGGCCCCAGGGTGCAGCGTGCAGCGCAGGCTTCCGCTTCTGAGCCCAGCCTCCACCCGCCAGCATCTCTGAGGGCTGTTCTGGGCCTGGCTCCTGGGATGCTGGGTACAGGCACAGACCCGTGGGGGAGAGGCTCGCTGAGCAGAGCCTGAGAGGTTGCCACGTGGTGAGAGAGCCGGGAGGTGGGGGTGGGGACATGTGCCTCGGCGGCGGGCAGCTCTGGGCAGGCTTCCTGGAGGCAGGGGACTTCCAGCCGAATGTGGAAGAACCACACAGAAGTTAGGCCGCAGAGAGGAGGCAGGGAGGGCAGCGGCCCAGGGCAGGGTACACAGTAGACAGCGAGGGAAGGCAGTGAGGCTGAGTGGGGGACACATAGGCCAAAGAGGTCAGGACCCCTGGAAGGAAGGGCCTCAGGCTCCAGGCCTGTACCCAAGGCTACAGGATGCCAGTGAGGAGAGCATCTGGGTCAGATTTCTGCCCCTTAAGGGTCCCTCATGCACCCCAGGGCACAGCAGGGAGGCCACTGTCACAGGTCAGGAGATACCAGGGGGCCCGGTGCCATGAGGATGGGATTAGGAGACAGTCTCTCAGATCTCAGGCTGGGCTGGGGGACGCCTCTCCCTGCCCATGGAGACAAGCCAGGAAGAGGAACTGGTTGGGGTCTGGCCTGGCTGCAGACACCCAGAGGTGATAACCCACTGGGAGCAAATGGACCTGGGGCTCCAGACCCCACCCCAAGCAGACAGCAAGGCTGAGCCCCTCCAGGAGCCCAGAGGAGGGAGAGAGCCAGGCAGGAGGAGGCCTGGGTCTCCCCCGAGAGGAGGGACGCCTTCTCTGAGGGACTCAGGAAAAGTAGGGGAGGTGGGGTGTTAGGATCTCGAGGTCTCAGCTCCCTGGGTCTGTCCGGCTCCAGGCATGCACATCACCGTGGGTCTGAAATGACCTGCCCCCAGGGGAAGACCATCTTCCTGGGAGGGGTGTCCTGAGGGCCGAGATGCTCGGCCTGTGCCAAGGTCTGAGGCCTGTGCCCATGGCTCCTGCAGACGGCCTACCCCTTGATGATGACCCTCTTCGAGCTGGCTCGGAACCCTGAGGTACAGCAGGCCCTACGTCAGGAGACCCTGCGGGCCAAGGTCGCAATCTCCGACAATCCCCAGAGGGCACTCACGGAGCTGCCCCTGCTACGGGCTGCCCTCAAGGAGACCCTGAGGTAAGTGTGGCTCGCCGGACCGCCCCAGCCGCTCTGGCCCAGGGTCTGGGAACAGCGCTCTCCGGAGCTCACTGCCAGACCCCGGGGCGCCAAGCACCACTGCCCAGGGTGCATCCCTCGCATCTCGTCTTCTCCTCCTGAAAAGATGGGGGCGCTTCATCCGTCCTCCAGGATCCCACTTCAACCTCCTGGTTGCCAGCCCAGGCCATGTCCTCCTTGGCCCAGGGCTGCTCAGGCTGGGGCAGCTTTGGCCGAGCTCAGGAGGTGCATGAACGCAGCTGCTCAGTGCCAAAGGGACCTGAATCGGGGGCAGTTCCTTTTGGCTGGTGTGTCCTGAACTAGGAAGGCTGCAGAAGGGAGGAGTGGGGCGCCCTGTCCCCGCTGAGGACCCTGTTGGATGCCCCCACCCATAGGCTGTACCCCGTGGGTATGACCGTGGAGCGACAGGTGGGCTCAGACTTGGTCCTGCAGAACTACCACATCCCAGCTGGGGTGAGTGCGACGCCACAGTCCCTCCAGCAAACAGCAGACCTGGTTTACCCTCCCCCACCCGGCTGACGCAGCCCCTCCCCACCCGTCTGCAGACGATGGTTTACGTGCAACTCTACTGCCTGGGTCGAAACCCTGCCGTGTTCACAAGGCCTGAGCGCTATCATCCCCAGCGCTGGCTGGACAACAGGGGCTCCAGCACCAGGTTCCCTTACCTGAGCTTTGGCTTTGGCCCGCGACAGTGCCTGGGGCGGCGCCTCGCGGAAACCGAGATGCTGCTGCTGCTGCACCACGTGAGCGGCCTGGGCGGCGCTTGCGCGGGGGGCGGGGCGGGGCGCACTAGGCGGCCAGGGCGGGGACCACAGGCTTCTCCTTTTGCTGCGCCCGCCCGCGCCCACGTAGTAGCCCCTGCGAGGCTGGGCCGGGACCACCCGGCTGACCAGTCGGCCGCAAGGAATCGCGCCTCTGTCCTAGGTGCTGAAAAACTTCCAAGTGGAGACGCTAACGCGAGAGGACGTGAGGATGATCTACCGGTTCATACTGATGCCCTCCACCCTCCCGCTACTTACCTTCCGGGCCCTCGACGCACTGCCGGGCCAGCCACGCGACCAGACCTCCTCCCCCTGACCCTAGGCCACTCCTGTTTTCTCCCATGGGCCCTGCTTCCTGAGCCACACCCCTGTCCAGCCAGTACCACAAATGGAACAGCCGAGGCCCTCTGAGGTCAGGCTTCGCCGGGCTGTGCAGCAAGGCCGGGGCAGAGCTGGGGATAAGTCTTGGCTGCAGGTGCCCGTTATGTGCTCATTCCCACAGAGCCTTCTCTAGCAAGGAAAGCCATCCGTCACCCCAGCACCAGCTCCAGGCTCCTCGTGTGTCCACCCAAGGGGCCTCCGGCCCTGCTCCTTGAGTCCCTGTCCAGTTTCACGTGCTCTCTGTACTCGACTCCCCCCCAACCCTGGAGATGACGGTTTAGGTCCCATGTCCCATGGCTCGTTGCCATTTCCAATGTCACGCTTCTTGTCTGCAACGCTCTTGCCTAAAGTTGACCTTAAGGCTGGGTTGTTATTTGTCCACCGCCCTGTTGTGCTCAGACTACGTAGGCTCTTCCTGGCAGTGCCAGCTTTCTGTGACCGTGGCTGAATCTCCCAACCAAAGGCCTGGGTGGGCAGGTCACCAGCAGCATTTACTAGAAGAACGACCACCAAAGAGCTGACGAGGACATCTGAGCCAACGATCCCCATCCGAAAGCAGTGAAGGATGGTGAACCCCAGGCTGACATTAGGGTGACTACGGAGAAGCCTCTAGAAGAAGGGGGTGGGCCATTTGCACGACGCAGCCACGTGTAGCCACATGCTCCCTTAAATAAAGTCCTCTGTCTGAAGTGCTGGCTACCTCCGCACACTGACCCACAGCAGAGGGCCATCCTGACCTTGTGGGTGGAAGAGGCTTCGAACAGCTGAGAGCCGCCTGGGGTCTCCCAGCTGGCAGGAATGAACAGTCTGTCCCACACCATGGAGGGCCAGGTGACCCCCACCCCACACACGCAGGGATCCTGGAGGCAGGGCGGGGTGATGGGCTTGTTGCACTCTCCCGCCCTCCCCACTCCCCTCTCGACTGGTGGGAACCAGGCACTCAGTTCGCACCCAGGCGGTAAGGGGGGAGGGGCTGCACTTCTGGCTGCACCAGCGCTGCCGGCACCCAGCCTCCCCAAAGGCACCCTGGTGGATCCCCAGACACCCTGGTGAGGGAGGGAGTTCGCACGCCCCTCAGCACTCCACCCACAGCAGAAGGGGCCTTCCTCCGCCCTGGTCAGGCGCTGCTGACACGGATTTGGAGAATCACAGAGGCTCTGTAGAGAAAGTTCCAGGCTCTGTAGGCACACAGGCCCAGGCTGGAGCCCTGGCTCACCACGAGGGCCAGCCCTCAGTCCCTCTGAGCTTCAGTCTCTTCGTGTGGGGACTCTGGGTAGCGCCAAGTCCCACCTCACCAGGCCCTGCGAGGACATCACGAGATTGGTGTTTGGAAAGCTCCCAGTTCTCTGCCTCCACAAGCACTCAATAAAAGAATTTCTTCTCCCGCCTCTCAAAAGTCACTTTGAGATTTGTGGCCCTGCTCTGTGGTGAGCTGGTGACGTGTGGGGGCAGGCATGGAATTAAAATGAAGTCGCCCTGGGGCACACGTGTGCCCCTCTGCAGAGCTGGGCATGCGTGTGCGCATGACCGTCACGGCGGAGGCCCAGAGCATGCCATTCACTCACCCCAGATCCTCACTCAAAGAACTACTCAGAATCTGCTGCAAAAAAACCCAGGAAAGCGAGCCCAAGATGAGAGACATGAAATGGAGCGTGAGCATGGAAGTCGATACAGTTACGTGGATGCACTGAATCCATCCTGACTGCAGAGAGGCTGGATGGCACAAGTCCCGTGAACAGCAGAGAGGTCATAGCCCCTCAGTAACTAGCTTTGGAATAGTTAGAACATTCCAGATGTGATTGCCTGTTGTGCTGTATACTCTTCACCAGTGGTGAGATTCAGCCCCTCAGCCTTCAGCACATGCCGAGGACGGTTCCACCCTCAGCGGCCGGGCTCCTGGACATTCGAGGCTCCCTCAGATAACCTCCGGTGTGACCCAGAAGCCTGAGTCCCGGTTTTAGCTAGAACGGTGCGAGCTTAGAAAAGCCCTTTTACTCCTTCTGGTCCTCCAGATTCTCCTTCGATCTGCAGAACGATACGGAAGGAGTGACAATAGGAGCAACAGTAGGATCGCCTTAATGTATCCGCCACTAATGACATCGCATCCGTATGTGTCACCTGCTCCGCACTTCATATGGGTTCCATGCTAAAGTGGATAATGTCATTATCCCATCTTATCAACCAGCAAATGGAGGCCTGGAAAATGCAGGAAGTTGCTCACGGACACAGGACTCATGCAGGGGACAGTGGGGATTGGAACCCTCGTTCCTGTGACTACAGGGCCCGAACTCCTCCTGGACTGGCCCAAATGCCAGGCAGGGGACAGGGCTCCTGCCAGTGTGGGTCTGGAGGCCAGGGCCATGAAGAGGGGCAGCTCTGGGGGAGACATCCCCAGGTGGACAGTGGGTACTTGGCACATCTACTATGTGCCAAGTACTTTTATAGGTTCGGGACATAGAACAGATTCCAAAGCAGATCGAACCCTTTGCTTCACGGAGTGTGTGTTCTAGTCAGGGAGACAGGAACAGACAACTACCCGTGGGATGTGGGAAGCTCTCAGTTCTTCGAGGCACATACCAGGGGCCAGGGGCAGGTGTGAATGGCCTAGTGGCCTCTCTCTGGTAAGGTCGTCATCTTTCGCCTTAATTCCAAGTTTTGATTTTGTTTTCTTAACAAAGGACAGATTGGAGCTAGAAAACATTATTTAAGGAAGCATGTAAAGCCACAGGACTGGAAGAGGCCACTTAGGAATTCAGGGACAATAGAAAAGCTCAGAGCCTGGGCACAGACGGAGAAGATGGGTGCCAGAAACGGGATGGAGACGGAGCAGCCAGGCAGGCCGAGAGTCTCTCTGGAATGAAAAGTGGCCCGCGGCATCGAACCCTGCTAGTGGAAGAAGGAAGGTGGGGGCTGAAACTGGCCACTGGATATGCAACACGGCAGTCACAGACAAACTGGAACAAAGTCGCGTTGGTGGCACGATGAGGCGAAAACCTTCCTAGAGTAGGTGCAAAGGGAGGAGGCGCAGAAACTGGCAGAAGCTCTGGGCCTGGGCCTGGAGACAGAGAGGGGAGGGGATGGGTGGGGGCCTCCAGACAGGTTTATTGCCAATGCCGGTGCGACCGTCTAATTGCACCAGCACCGGGAGGCCAGCAGGTGGCCAACTCCCCTGGACAACGTCAGCACCCTGGACAGCAGCAAGTCTTTTGCAATGTCCCACAGTTGTATCCATTCTCCCTTGGAAAATTTCCTGTGGCAGGTGGGGCTCAGAGAGGGGAGCGTCATGCCTGAGCCACACAGCACGTCAGGGGCACAGTGGGAGCCTTGCCGAGACTGAAGCCCTGCAGGCTGTGGAGGCCGGCTGCGCAGAGCCGAGGGCCAGCTGCCCTGGGCAGTGTCGTTCGCTGTGCTGTCTTGCAGTGGGAGGCCCTGGAGAAAGCCAGACTCTCTCAGAACCCAAGAAGAAGCACATGGTGTTGTGACTATTGTCTCCTGGCCTGGGGCACCTGGAAAGTGAAGGGTGGAGGACGATTTTTTGAGACCTATAAAATATACTCCTTGCCCCTCTAAGCAAGCCCACGCCTCTTGACAGACTGCCCTGTCTCTTCTGCATTATTTCCCCATTCTGAATGAGGTCAGGACTCAGCGTGTGACCAGAATTAGGGCTCGGACTGTGACCAGGGTCGGCTTTTCTAGTTGCTGTCCGAAAGTCAGGTGTTATTCTCAGCATCGCTCCTTAGAAGGTGATCTATCCTTTTCTATAGGCAATTAAAAGATTTTCTTTTGGTCTTTGGTTTTCTGCATTTTCATGGGTATGTGTGGATATTTATTTCTTTGCCCTGCTTCAAATTTGCTGGACGGCTTGATCTGGGGTTTGATATACTGTATTAGCTCGGGGTGGGGGGGAGGGCACAGCTGTTATTAATTCAATATTGCCTCTGTACCATTATCTCAACTATTTTGTGATCTGTCTCACTCTCTCTGCCATCTTTCTTAGCCTCTCCTCCATATTTTCCACTTTTTCTATTTTTGAGGCTCAGCAAGGCATTGAGAAGCCGGGGAGCAGAGCGGACCAGTGCCCCCTCCCACTGGTCCATTCGCCACTTGCCCTGAAGGGGAGATTCAGCTCCAATCATGGACATGGGGGCTCCTCCCCAGGCGGTGGGCAGCTGGGAGAAAATGCAGGGCCTTGGGGAAGGGGGGAACATCACCTATGGGGCAGGACTTCTGAGGCCAAGAAATCAGGAAGGCTTGTCCCCAATACCCCTCTTTTCTGCATTTCCCCAGTCCCAAGGCAGCCCCCACATAAAGGGCTGTGACACCACACACCTGACCCTGTGCAATGGGGGTCTCAAGAGTGAGGGGGGGAGGAGCTCTTTGTGGGCAGAAGGGTTTGAAGACCCCACAGATACCTGGCTGGCCTCTCCCAACATATGGGCCATTTCCTGACTCCTGAACCCACCATCCTGTCCACCTGGGTGACCTCGGACAAGGCCCTGCTCCCTCTGGTCCACCCCCGTGGCTTCAGCTCTATGATTACCAGGGTTCCAATGTAAGGGTGTTGGAGGAGGGTCCTTGAGGCTGGGGTGGGATGTGTGTGACAATGTGGGCAAGCCCCTCTGTGGATGGGGTGTCTGGGGTGTCGCAAACAAGGACCCTCTGGGAGAGCCCCTGGTGGTCCCTGAGGAGGGTCCACCAAGTCTGAGGGACTGCCCGCATCAGGACACTCAGGAGTTTCTACTTTTAAGAATGGTCTTTCCACAGCTCCTCCCAGCTGGCTGCAGATTCTCCAGACCCGAGCATGGCCTTTGCCGGGACGTGCATTTGAAAGAGCCAGCCCTCCATGTGGACTCAGGGAATCTGTGATCGCCCAGACCAGTCACATCGAAGGTGACAGTGGATGTCTGCACACAGGTTCAGACCGCTCTTTTCATCCAGGCCTAGAGCACTTCAGGCCACGCATGCGCCATTTGCCAGGCGCCCCAGGCGCTCTAGTTCATGGGCGGGGGCGGGAAATACGCCATGTAATTACTGCTGCAGAGGGCGTCTCAGCCAACACGTTGGCCCTCCCTCCTGTGCACGTCAGGCAAAGAGCTTGAGGAAGACACATGGGGACTGAAAGCGTGAGGATGAAAGCCTGGCATTGGCCGGCACCCTTGTTCTGGGGACAGGACGCCGGCTGGCACGTTCGCAGACACGGACGCGCCCCCGGAGCCCCGCCCCTGCCGGTCCTCGCCCGGAAGACACATTCTTACGCTCGTTTTCAAATCGGGCAAGTCGTTTTTCTGAACTGTCGAGAGTTTGTTTCAATGGTTCAAAAGCTCTGTAAATTCAAGATGACGACGGTGTCGCAGTGGTGGGTGGCTTTCTCGCTCCGCCTTGTGAATGGCGTTTCTCAGAGGAGCGGAGTTCTGCCACCACCCTCAGATCCACTTAACCGCCAGTCACGAAAGCACTCGTCCATCTGTAAGTCAGTAGACCGATGCACAAACGAGGTCAGAAACGCCGCCCCCGGACGTGAAGGCTGAGCGGGCAGGTTAGCTCGGTGTCTTTGGTGCATGGTCGTGACGCACGGAGGGCAGCTGGTCCAGGACAGGCCTGGTGCGCAGCTGGCTGCCCACCCAGGCCCCTCCTCCCCGGCCGTGCAGGTGGCAACATCTCCCTGCTTCCTGCACAGCCACAGCGGACAGAAAGAGCGGAATCGGCATGGCCGAGTGAAGCGTCAACGAGAGAGGCTGTAAGACCTATACCCAGGAAGTTGGTGGAAGCTGCCTCCTCTCTGGACAGCGGGCGCTTGGCAGGAGGGGTGAGGAGAGGCGGGGCATCTGCCGTGGGCCACACTGCGAGATGGAGGCACAGTCAGCCGAGCACCCGGGTCCCCAGTGTCCAGCTCCATCCACCACAGCAGAAGGGACCTAGGCTGGAGCCTTACCCGAGCTCTGCTCCGGGAAGAGGCTTTAAAGCTCTTCCTCCCCTGTACAGACACGCACACACGTCATGCACACACAGACACACAGAGAACATGCACACATCACATACACGCGCACGTCATGCACACACAGAGAACATGCACACATCACATACACACGCACGTCATGCACGCACAGAGAACATGCACACATCACATACACACGCACGTCATGCACGCACAGAGAACATGCACACATCACATACACACGCACGTCATGCACGCACAGAGAACATGCACACATCACATACACGCGCACGTCATGCACGCACAGGCGCACACACCTGCAGCCATCCACACACCCACGCACACACACACGGAGTCCTGTTTGGAGCTCACCGCGTACCCTGGAAGATTCTAGGGAGACTGTGGAATACTCAGCTTTCCTCACACAGGAATCGCTCCTTCCTCCTGGTCACCTCCTTGCTCCACTCTGCCTGGACCACAGATGGCAGCTGGAGGCTGATCAGCCCTCCCGTGACCAGGAGGCAGCTGCGACATGGAAACCACATCCCGGAGGGCGCAGACGGGTGTGGACGAAGCCTGGGCTGCCACGGTTGGTGTGACTGCACGAGGACACTATGACCGTGCCAGGTGTGCAGGTACATGCCAGGGGCACAGCTGAGTCCTGCCCCCCGCAGCCGCGTTAGGGACTATCGCTCGCCTGCGTTCCTGCCCCCGCTTAATTTGACAGGGCTTTTTCATCTTTCCGGCTTGATGAATGGATACTAGTTACTGAAAGTATTTTAGTTTGTGTGTTTCTTTTTTGATTGTCGTGTCATGACAGGCAACCTTTTCTCACTGTTCATATTCTTACTGGTCCATTACTTAAAAATATTTTCTGCTAATCCGTGAAGAGATTTTGTGTTTCTTCCTAAAAATTCTGTTTTCCATTTTCAACTTGAGTTTGAATCCATCTGAAATGTTTTCTCCCTCACGCACACACGCTGCCCCTGTCCCAGCCCCGTCTAGGACACAGTGAGAGGGCCTCCCTTTCTCTCCCCCCGACACCCCACTCAGCCTCCTCCACACCCAGACCGGCTGCCTCCCGAGAACCCCAAACCACGCAGCTCCACCAAGCCTACTCCCTGCCACTTTGAAAACATTTTTAACTTTTCACTTTGAAATCAGTTCACACGTACAAAGAAGTTTCAAAAATAGTACAGTTTCTATATTTGCTTCGTGCAGCTTCCCCAAATGTTAACTGCTTGCATAATCGCATCTCCAAGGTCAAACACAGGAAATTAGTTCTGAAGCCAGACTCTGCCGCACCCACACACAGCCCACGCCCGCATCTCCCCCACTGCCCACCAGTGTCCCTTCCTTGGGGCCAGAGCCCAGGCCAGGAGCTGGCACTGCATCTCCTAACCTTCGCCAGATCTCCTCACCCTGGGACATCCCCCAGCCCCTGCTGCTGACCGCCCAGCCCGCCCACTCACTCACTCACTCAGCCAAGGTCTACTACTGGCCCGTGACCCGGCCCATGACGCACCCTCTGCCTGGCCGCATCTGGGCCACCTCTCCCGCGCCCCCTCTGCCAGGCACCCACCCTCACCCCAGACCTGACAACTCCTTGTCGGCCCCGCCCTCACAGCTCACCGGGAGGCTGGAGCTGACCCACGTCTGTCTTCTGTCATCTCTGGGTGGACACCGGTCTCTGACTCTCCAGGGAGTGAGCTCCTCAGGGCTGGGCGGTGGTCCCTGCTGGACGCAGGAGCTCCCCGAGGTGGGCGAGAGGCCGGAAGGGGTGCCCAGTGGCTGCCTGGCTTCACACTGCACCCTCACTCACACGTGTGTGCATGTGCACACGCACGCACACGCACGCCTTCTGCTCGGCCCTGGGTGCTGCGGGCACACCCCAGAGAGTACGCGAGCCTTCTCCTCGGCCCTGGGTGCTGCGGGCACACCCCAGAGAGTGGGCGTCTGAGGGGACTCCCACGTGCGGCTGCGGAGATCACTGAGGCCGCCCACTTCGCGGATGGGGGTGGCCTGGCAGCGGTCAGGCCCCGTCCTCTGTGTCCCAGACACGTTCATGTCCACGGAACGCCCGCTTTCGCAAACCTAATGCTTTCATCATGTTCAAGGTGCCTCGTCCCTGCACAAGGTCCTAGGAAGCCATCTGAAAAAAGACTCTCCTGAGCTGGGGGCTTTTCCGGTGCTTTCTGACTGTAGGTGGTGAAATCGGCGTAGCGCTTTCGATCAGACTTTTTAACGAAAAGCAGAGTGAAAGGCGGTAATCTTGGGTGGAATGGAAAATATCGAGCGCCCCCCAGTAAGACTTTATATACATTGGTCAGAATGAAAACCACATTTCTTACTGTGGGATTTCGGTCAAAAATGTGTAAAAGCGTGCCCGCTGGGGCGTGAGTCTCCCAGAGGGGTGGGCAGTCCCAGCTGGCCTAGGAAGGGGAGGACTGGCTGGGCTGGTGGGACACTGGCCTGTCCCTGACCATGGCGTTGGATCAGCAACCGAGGCTGGGTCCCAGCCACGGCCTGAGTCCCACCCCCCGCCCGGAGAGAAGCCTCCCCAGGGGCCCAGGCTGGGGCTCCAGGGGTGTCCAGGCTCTTGCCAGACCTTAAGTCACCAGTGAAAAGTTCCACAAGCCATGACACATTTAGTAGGTTAAATGTCATTGTGACAACCATTTTAAACAATTTCCGCCTTCCCTTCCCTTTATGGCATCCAGAGAAGTCCCTGCAAGTGACAGCCTGTATGAGGAGTATTTATAGCAGCCCAGTCCTGCCTCCGAGGCCCCTGCCAGTCCCTCCATGGCTGATAGGGATGGGCGCCGGGCCTGGGCCGACCCTGCCAGCAGCCGCCTGCTCTCCAGCCCTGGGTTCCTCCCCCAGGCCTCCCTCCTCTCCATCCCCTCCTGAGGGCTCCCCGTCTGGTCTGGCGAAGGCTCTCTCCCTTCACCCTGCCCCTCATCCCTGCCCCTCCATGGGCACCCCCGCCCAAGACGTCTCTGCACCCCCAGAGCACACACACTGACCCCTCCCCTGCCTCCCTCCCTTTCCCTTCTCTTTGTGGCATCAAGGTCAGCTGGGGACATGGGGGGTGGGGAGCCACCCCATGGGCCCCGCGATCGAGGACCCGGGGTATGCGGGGAGCACAGAGGTGGCCGGCCCTCCCTCAAGGGCACGCTCCACTCCACCCTGACGGGCAGAGGTCAGAGGCCGGGTGTGAGGACAGCCCAGCCAGCACGCTCCTTCCTCTTCTGGGAAGCTGCAGGCTGAGCTTTCTGCATTTCCTGGTAGAAACTGTACAAATAAGCTGGTCTACAAAGGTCTCGTGATGCTGGCAGATGACAATGGGACAGCTCTGACCATCCCTGACCCCTCAGGCTCATGGCTGCGGCCCCGCTGGCCGAGCGAGCTGCCACAGAGCACGCCGTTCAGACCTGCCTTCGGGAGAACCAGCTGGGACACCGGTCCGGCCTGGAGGATGCTTGAGCCGGGGGAGCTCTGTCCAAAGGAAGCCTCCTCTGAAGGGCAGCGCGCTGGCCGGGCTCGGGGCCTTTAGAACTGTGCCGACGTCAGAGTCCGCAATGAGTCTGCTGAAAGCGATGGTCTGTATAAGAGGCTCGTCCAGCCTCCGGCCATTTGGGCTATCAGCGGCCACAGGTAACTGACTTCTGCCCCTCAGATGGCACAGGGTCAGTCCTGGCCTTCGCTGGCTGCTCTCTCGGAGAAGCTCAGAGCCACACATGGCCCTCCGACCTAGCTGGGCCCCAGGAAGAGCTGCAGGGCCCTGGTGTTGGTGCTTGACTGGGCGTCCCCCTGGTCCTCAGTGGGACAGCGGCAGGTGTGCCCACAGAGGGGCTCTTCCCTACCCCCAGGACACCTTGTGAAGCTTGAAGTAGATTTGTTTATGAGAGAGGAGGAGCCGCAAGACTCAAGTTGGGGAGACCTGATGGGCCAGCCCTGGGGCGGGGCGGGGGGGCACTGCTGACCAGGGCCCAGGGCAGAGATGGCCTGGAGGCCTCTGAGACAAAAGCAGCTATAAGGATGAGGCTGGCCTGTCCCTGGGACCGTGTGAGTGAATCCACTGAGTGTCCAGGAAAATAGCCAGCCGGCCACAACTGACCACAGCCTCCGAAGGGACTGGACAAGGCCTCGCGGCCTGCAGCAGGGTGCAGTGCGCACTCCAGCCACCAGAGGGCGCCCGAGGGCCGTGAGGAGGAGCTAGCACCAAAGACAGGGACACAGGCCCCGCCCGCAGGCTGGCGGGGAGAGGATGCTCCCCAAGGTCTCTTCCGCCCTCCCAAGGCCAAGGCCGCACTGCTGTGGAGGAAGCCTGGGGGCTGTGGAACCCCTAGGAGGGCCGAGGACTGGGTGGGAGGTGTGGTCAGGAGGTGGGAGAGGCGGGAATGCAGGACCTTTGCCTAATAGAAAGAAGGTGGTGTCTCTCCTACACCCTGGGGCATGGGCATTGTCAGGGAAGTCCCTGGCCCTCTCTGTCTCCATCAGCCACCCACAGACGTAGGCCTGCAGGTCGCCAGCCCCAGCCAGCTCTCTGGACTGCCCTCTCTCCACAGGCGAGCCAGCCCCTCATCCCCCTGAGCAGAAGCTTACAGAGAAGGTCTCCACTGTCAAGACCCACGACGTTCCACCAGGATGACCCATCATCGAGGAAAGGGGTCTCTGTCGTCTTCTGGGGAAAATACACTGACAGACTGGAACGTGTTATCAGCTCCTGCTTCAGAGAGCCTAAGTTGGCTGACTTACGAAAGCCTGTTTGTTCTCCCCTCGCTGAAAGTCACAGAGGCTCCTTCACCAAGCCGGCCCCGAGGCAATCACGGAGGGTCTCGAGCTGTGCATACGGAAACCCTGTGGCCTTTGCTTAGGAAGGAACCGGGAGACAGTGGTTCCCAGCCCCTCCCTGCAGCTCCTCCTTCCTGCGATGCCAGCTTTACAAACATTGTGCTTCTAAATTCTTGGTTTGTGGCTTCTTGTTCACACGACACCATCTCTCAAGCTGTATTTCCGTTCAAATGTACTCATGCGGTTATTTATTGAGCACCCAGTACGTGCCAGGGAGTGTTCGAAGTGGGGACCAAGCGGTAGGTGCTTCCTCGGCAGGCGGGGGCGGGTCTCACCCAGGGAGCAGGGGCCAGGCCTTCCTGCCCGGGGCACTCGAGCAGAGAAATGAAGAGGGCCAGGGGGATCTGAAACACACTTCCTGTTCCAGGATCGGGAACAGCATGCGAAGGCCCTGGGGTGGGAATGTGGCTTAGAGGAAGAACCTGAGGCCCCAGCGGCTGGAACAGAGGCTCTGAAGTCACCGCAGCACTTGAGACTTTTTTCTGAGAGGCAGGGAGCCAGCCCGACAGGAGCATACTGAGGCCCCACTCTGAGACAGGGAGCTGGGCCCAGAGAAGACAGGCAGGGAGTTCAAGGTCACGCAGTCGGCACAACGTCGCGGGCCCCTCAGGCTGCTCTCCCTGCTCACCGCGCGGCCAGGTGGGACTCCTCCCGGCTAGAGCCAGGAGCAGCAGAGGCCCTGCGGGGCCCTGTTCATGGCCTACGTGGCTGAGTCCAGGGTCCCTGCCCAATCAGGAGACACAGGCAAGGGGAGCAGAAACTTAGGGGCCAAAGGGAGCCATTCCGGGCCCTCGTACACCAACCTGGCTCACGTGAGGACCTAGAAGCAGGCAGTCTGTGGAGGGACAGTGGGTGCTGGCACCGGGCAGAGTTGCAGGTGGGGTCTACGCCCTTTGCGGGATGGGGGCACCAGATCCTGGGAAGAGTCCACGTGGGGGGACACTTAGCCGTGGCTGCACCTACCTCCACCTGTTGGGCCGGCTCAGGACGGGGGCTGAGAGGCAAAGCAGGCTAGGAAAAGCAAAACGCATTCTGTGCTGGGAGACAGGAAGTCAGCGGTCAGATGGCGAAGTCCCGAGAACTCGGGGAGCCCAGAGCTCCTCAGCTGAGAACGCAGAGAGAGGGTGGCAACATGGAGGGTGACCCCAGAGACCAGGGGTGTGCTGGGAGCAACCAGAATGCGGGGACCCTACATGCCCCCACCACGGGGCCTCACTCCGAGAGTGGGGATGGAGCCATGGCCTCCCCGCAGCCCAGCCTCGCCCGCAGTGTGCACGAGGCCCGGCTAGAGCCGGCGCGGCTGCACCGGAAAAGCAGATAAGGTGTCGGATTCCTCCCAGTAAGAACCCTGAGGTCCCGCGGGATGGCAGGCGCCAACCACCTTCCGGACGTCCTGGGGGAGTTACATTCTGCCTGGGAGAGATCTCTCCTGGGGACGAGAGTCCGTAGAAGGCACATCCTTAGTCAGGAACCGGCCCAGATGAGAAAAGGTTAAAAGCACAGGATGCTGCCCGGGGGCGTGGACACCGACCGCAGTCCTCAAACGCAGAGAGGAACCGGTGAAGGTGGCTGGCTGCGACGCCACCCCCAGTCCAGGGCTGAGTGTGCAGCAGGTCCTCTGGTCCACCCGAGATGAAGCCACACTGCCCGGGCCCCTCCAGGTCATTGCTTGCCAAGTCCCCTGAGGCCCCAGGAGGTGGAAAGATGGAAAGAAAGTTCTGGCTCTGAACCAACCTCACCCTGAAACTCGCCACCCGCTGTCCGGTGTCAGATCCCTCAGACAGGAAACCGCTCTCAGTGACCCGCAGGTGCCCACGTCATGTGGCCACAGCACTCTGGGCCACTACAGCCCGATGGCCACTGGAACCAGGTGGCTTCCAGCAGAAGCCCAGGTAGCCAAGCCTCCTACTTGCGTTCCAGAAAATGTGTGTGCCAGACCCAGGACACCAGAGGCAACATACCCGGCGAATCGAGACCTGCCTCCCTGGCTCCGGAGGCCGTTACGGGAATCTCCTCGCCATGCGGGGCGGGCGGGCGCCTGGCTGTGGGGAGCAGGCACGCGGGGAGTCTCAGCCCCGCAATCACAACACACGGGAGCACTGCAGGTGCTGGCCCGGGCAGCTGGGACTCCTGGGGTTTGTGACACGTGCGACTGAGTACGAGGTCAGAGGTTAGGGTCTGTGTGGAGAGAAGCCACAGGGTCACAATGGGAGGACCCTCCCACAGGGCCCCAGTAGCCCCAGGAGGCCCGGCCAGAAGGAAGCAAAGCAGAGGCAGAGGGACCCGCAGACGTGACTGGACCCACGAGCAGGTAGGTACGCACCCGGCCACTCCAGGGGGTGTGCCATGGACATGATGCGGGGACCCAAGGCTGCCGTGGCGGGCGGGCCTGTTACGGGTCACTTGCTGGCCACAGCTGGTCCAAGAGATCGTCTCTGGGTGCCGACCCCAGCTACGCCAAGCCCTGGGGATGAGGACTCCCTCGGGAAGGGGAGACCCCGACGTCACACCTCCCGGGGCCAATCTAGACACCACGCCCACCCTCTTAGACACACCCCAGTGCCCCCACAGAATCGGGTGACCCACAGGTCACATTACCGGGCGCTGCACAAACCCCTGGCAAGGCCGTGCACACTCAGACACACTTGCGTCTCCTGTCCGACCCACGGCGGTGACCTTGAGGACACTTTGAGTTGGGTGGTTCAAATCACGCCAGCCCTCCTCCTCACGCAGCTCGCTTTGCAAGCCACAGGAACGAGCAGGAGCGAAGTCCGCTCCTGCCTTCGCCCCGTGAGCACTTGCTGGGCGCCTGCCGTGGCCGGAGGCGGTGGACCCACAGATGACGCCCGCCGGCCTCGAGGGCTGGCCCTCTGGGGGAGGTGGCGAGCGAGTGGCAAAACCCGACGGGCAGTGCCAAGACACAACGTGCGCCCTCATGGAGTCTGGGGCTCATCCCGCCCCTCCAGACAGGTGGGCAGGGGCCCCAGAGGACCCTCCACACACGCACCGGGACAAGCCCAAAGCTTAGGGCAGATGCGGGAAATGCCGCATGGGAAGGGGATGACGCAGCCCTGCCCGGGCACCCTTCCTGCCCCACGGGCCACGTCCACGTCCCTGGGGACAGCAGCGCCATCGCCCCCGGAGCTCTGGAACCCCCTCAGATGTCACCACACCTCGGCTGGGGCCATCTCATGACACACGGGGACCTCTGCCCCGAAGCTCTGCCGGCTGACCTTTCCCACGCTCCTGTCGTCTGCAGGCCTGGACCATAGGAGGGGCCGGCCGGTCCGGACGCCAGCTCTGAAGACACTCACGCTCACGCACAAGGGCACGCTCGTGACGCCGCTCACGTGGAAACTAAGGCCCTCCTGGACACGGCCCTGTCACAGGCCTGGTCCCGGCATGGGGTCCCACTTCCCACCGGCCTCCATCCCGACCACCACGCCGACCACCACGCCATGCTGCCCCCAGCCCCCTCCTGCTCCCCAGCCTCCCCTTCCTCTGTGTACGGTTAAGAATCTCTCTCCCCTGGAGCCCTCTGTCACTGTTATGCAAACAACACCCAAAAAGACCAAATGAAAAGGTCAAGTGTGACAGCCCCCAACAGGAAATGCGCTATCAGAGTGCGAGGGATGACTCTCGGGAACGGGCTGGTGGCAGAGGCTCCCAAATCCACCACCCGGCCAGTGGCCAGCGGAGAGGAAGGGCCCGTAGGCAAGCCTGGCCAGAAGCTGGAGCAGCGTGGGGTACAGCAGGTGCTCTGTGAATATCGGCTGAAGGACAAGGCCCTCACGGGGCACCTAGAGACAGACAGACAGACGGACAGAGGGCAGAAGGCACAGTCGCCAGGCCCACGGCTCCGGCTTTGTTCTGACAGGTGCAGCCACACGTGAACTCTCTGCTGTGACTCCCGCTAACCCAGGCTGGCCGCGCTCAGTCTAACAGTGCCACAAGTTCACGCACGTTCTCCCAGCCGGCCCGCCCCACCCGCGCCCAAACCGCCAGGCCCCCAAGCCCGTGGGACCCGAGGTCCCGATCAGTGTCACGCTAAGAAGAAAGCCTCAGATCTACCGGCCATGACGAAAATACGACGACCAGACCTCAAAGTAGAGCAAAGTTTGGGTCAAACAGAGATAACGCCTCAGCCTCAGCTATGTATCAGCCCCCACCTGTGCAAGCAGAGTGACCGTGATCTCCTCACAAAGCCAGACAGGACGACGCCATGGCCGACACCAGGACCCGAGGCCATGATGAACCGCCTCCTGACCTGGCCCACAGCAATCAGTAGGGCCAGGACCCCAACTCCCTCAGCTATGGTCACCAACCGTCTTTCCTCTGTATAACCCATCCGCTGGGGGCCCTGGCTTCTCTGTGTCTCCTGGCTTGGTGCCAACTCCCTAAACGAACCTTCACTTTCTCTGCTGAGAGCTGCTGCTCAGCTCCTGGCTCGGCCCCGCCCCCGCCCGCAGAGAACGCCTTTATTTCAGTGACACAGGGGCCTCCCGGCTCTGCGCCAGGGTCAGGTCAAGCTGGCTTTGTGAGTGGCCCCCCTGGCTGTGGACCCGGTGCACCCGTGAGCTGAGCTCACAGAAGGCTCTCGAGTCCATACTGGGCTGAGGGTCCTGGCCCAGTGGGGGCCACACAGCAGGCAGCCCTGCGCCCAGGAGGAGAAGGAGTCCGAAGCCTGCAAAGATGGTCGCTCAAGGGACCGGATCTGCCACCAGGGATCGTTGCTGCCCACGCCACAGCCGGGAAGCCACAGAAGCCAGAAGCCTCCTGCAACCTCGCGCTGCAGGTCACGTCATGTCATCAACGCCCTGCGACCCATGGAGGGCTAACAGCCGGGGGCCCACGCCCTAAGGACACCTGAGCGAAGGCCTCCTACCTGCCCGCTCACCGCACGCAGCCCGCCCTGTGGAAAGGAGTCCCACTGTGGCCCTATCGGCCTCCCTGACGCATCCCCCGCGCTCAGCCCCTACGGCGTCGGGCCGGCCACCTGTGGGCCTCTGGGGCCGCGCTGGAGCGCCCCTCCCCCACACACCTGCCGGGCCCGCGGGGGACCCGGAGGACAGGCAAGCCGGGGGACGGGGCCTGCGAGCCGAGGCCGGGGTGAGAGTTCCCCCGACTCCGCCCCCCACGCCCGCCTTCTCGGGAAAGACCGACCCCGCCCGCGCCCGCCCCGGCTCCGCCTCCCGCCCGCCCCGCCATCTGCCCGAGCCGCGGCTGGCCTGCGAGTCCGGCTTGGGCTGCTCGGCGAGGCGGTGTAGCCGCGTCCCTCTCGGTGAGTCGGCGGGCCCGGGCGGGGCACAGGGCCCCGGCGCCGCGGAACGCAGCCTGCGGGGCGCGGAAGGGAGCGAGCGAGGGGGCCTCCGGGGGAGGCGCGGCAGAGGTCGAGGAAGGCTTGGGATTCAGGGGTGAGGCCGGGCCCGGCCCCAGGGGGCTGAGCCGCCACTCTCGGCCCCCCAGCGCTCCCGAGTGTTTCCGAAGCCCCGGGGCGGAAGCGCGCGGAGACCACCGCCAGGCGCGCTCCGCGCTGGCGGCCCCGGGCTGCGCAGGCACCGGGGGGCATCGCCCGACCCCGGCTTCCGCTTGACTACTCACATGGGGACTGAGGAGGGACAGCCTTCCTGACCTGAGAAGGGCCTGGGGTCTTGGCGGCCGGCAGGGAGGACCTGCCTTCGGATCACCCCGAGACAGGTGCCGGCCCAGGCGAGCGGGAGCGCCCCGTGCTTGGCATAATTACACAAGCAGACGAGGTGCCTGGAAGCCCCGACTTCCTGCGCCGGGCCGCCTGGCCCCGTCTCATCCCTGGGGACTCGGACAGGCTCCTGCCTCTCCTGCTAGCCCGCATCACTGGATGCCCGGCTTTCCCAGAAATCAGCCTGTGAACCTGGGGGAGGAGCTCGCAGTCTGGGTCCTGCTCGGCACTGCCCCGGAAATCCCCACCTCCCCTCGGGGCTCCCTTCGCCTGACCCTACCAGGGCCCATCCACCTCGGTGGACAGCCCAGCGGGCGTCTTGGTTGGGTGCCTGGCGGTTGGTCAGCGGGGACCCTGGCTGCGACTGTCGAGCTGTGCATACCAGAGCTTCTGTAAGGATAGCTCACAGCCCAGGGCTCCTGCATGCCCAAACCTAACTTTAGGGAGGAGACAGAGGCTTCTTCCTCCCTGAACCTCCTGGATCCAGGGAGAGGCCCTAGGCCCATTCCCAGGGTCTCCGCCAGCCCCTCCGGACACCTCTTCTCTCCTGGGTGTTCCGTCCTCCGGGGGCCTAGAACTGGCCCCCCAGGCCTGGAATGCCCCTCCCTCACCCAGGGCTGCCCCCTGCGATGGCACCAGGCTCCCCACGCATGCCTCCAGCTGTACAGCACCCCAGCTGGTCACATTCCAGGTGCCTTCTCCACCCACTGCTACAGGCCTCGGCCCTAGGGTTCCCGGTGCAGAGTACAGGGCCACCCCTCAGACTCGTCCCCACCCAGCAGACTCGCCCGTGCCCATTCCTGCGGCCGCATGGCCCTGGGCCTCGCTGAGCCTGTCTCCCAGCCCCCGAGTGGGGGGGTAGCAGGTCCTTATCGGGTCGCGGTCTTCAGCACTGAATAACACACAACATTTGAGCCTCCCCGGGGCCAAAGCCGCCCGAGGCAGGGGCTCAGCTACATACGCCAGCATGCGCCGCGGAAAGCTCTGGAAGCTGCTTTGCGTTCCTTGTCACCATCCCTTACCCCCAGGATCAAGGGCAGCCACTCTGGCCTCCCTTTGCGTGTGCTTCCGAGGACATTAACGAGTCCCCTCACGTGGCCTCTACCACCCTCTCTCCCCAGCACTGGAGCCACAGGCTTGAGGAGGGGTCTCAGCCAGAGGGAGTCCTGCCTTGAGTGGGGGGAGGTTAGGACGAAGCACAACGACCCTGTGCTCTCACCCTACTGCTCGAAGCTGTGGGTCCCGCCCCGTCGATGCCGTGGGGCACCAGGCTTCCGGGGCGAGCCAGGGCCTGTCCCCCACGAGCTGCGTCTCTCTGGAGCACAGGGCCTTTCCCGGCATCGCGAGACCCAGACGGGAGCCGGCCTCTTCCAGAATGAAGGTCTTCCTGCCCGTGTTGCTGGCCGCCCTTCTGGGTGTGGAGCAAGGTGAGGTGCCCTCGGGGCCCCAGACTTTGGGGGGCTGGACTCCCTCTCCCCATTCTCTCCGGAAGGGTGACCAGGGATCCTCGGAGCTCATTTCCGTGTGACCTCTGTGCGCCCTAAGAGGCCCCCCTCCCACATCCTAGCCGTCACTCCTCCCTCCCGCTCCCAGCGGAGGCCTCGCCCCCGCCCTGCGTGGCACTGTCACCTGCAGCGTGTCCCCTTTCCGCAGCTCGCTCCCTGGTGTGCTTCGCTTGCACGAATCAGAACAGCAACTTGTACTGCCTGAAGCCCACCGTCTGCTCCGACTCTGACAAATACTGCGTGACCGTCTCTGCTGCCGCTGGCATCGGTGAGCGCCGGCCCCGGACCCCGGGCCCCGGCCCCCGCCCCGCCCTCTCTGCCCGCCCACTCACACTCTCATTTTCTGGTGCAGGGAATGTGGTGGACCTTGGCTACAGCCTGAACAAGGGCTGCTCCCCAGTCTGCCCCGCCCCCCCGAATGTCAACCTCGGCGTGGCATCCATGGGCACTCACTGCTGCCAGAGCTTCCTGTGCAACATCAGTGCGGCGGACGGCGGGCTGCGGGCCAGCGCCACCATGCTCGGCCTCGGGCTCCTGCTCAGCCTGCTGACAGCTGTGCTGAGGCTTGGCCCCTGACCACCTGGACCCCGTGCCCAGCCCCGACTACGCAGCTCAGGAAGGAACGCCCAGCCCGACCCAGACCCCTCAACTCCCCACCTGGCCTGATCCCACCCCCTCGGCCCTCAGTCCCCACCATCCAGCCTGCCCCCTGCACCTACACCTGCCCCCAGAGGGGCCAGCTGCCCTCACTTCCAAGGTCAATGATATGACCTTCCTCTTAGAACCTGGGGAGGCATGAGGGTCCGCCTGGAGCCTGTGGGTCTCGGAGTCGGAACTGCATCACAGACAGGCACTGGGAGGGATACCTAAGCCCCGGACCCTGTCCCCAGACAGTGGCGTGTAAAATGTGCTTTGCGCCACTGTGTCTTGGAACGGGATGTGTGCCGTGGCTGTGGACACTCCCGGCTGTGTCAGTGTGTGACTGCTGGCCATGCCTGGTGGAGGGCTGCGGGGAAGCAGCCCTGCGTGCCCCAAGCGCCAACACCAGAGCCAGTCCTGGGCATTTCCGTACCCACATTCCACTCGCTTCGGTGGCAGGTCTTGTGGCTTCCAGGGCTAGGCGGCTGGGCCCAGGGGTTCCCTCTCACCCCGCCCCCCACACTGGAGCCCTCCTGCTTCGGTGCCTCAAATAAACCCAGCTTTTCCCACCTCTTCCTGCTCCGGTGTGGCCGCCTGTGGTGCCTCTGCCTGGAACACGCCTCCCAGCCGTGTCCTAATGTGGGTGCCTAGGGGTCCCCGTAGTACAGCCCCTCACGGAGGCTCGCTTGGGATCAGTAGAGGAGGGGTCCCCCACAGGGCCTGGAAGGGAATCTCCATCCCGTGTCTCCCGGTTCCCCTCTCCCTAGCCGGCTGGGGGAAAGTACATCCTTGGGAGGAGAAAGGTCAGGGGGTGGGGAGGGAGGCCCGCCCGCTTGCGGGAGCAAGGCAGGACCCCGCGAGCGGGGAACGGAGTGGGACAGGAGACCGGTGCAGGGATCTATCTGCAGGAGCTTGCACACGGGACGGGCCCTGGCACCTGGGGTTTGGGGACCTGAGGACAGCACGCCAGGGCCAAGGCAGAGACACAGGAACACCTGGCTGGGCAGCAGGAGCTCGGTGGGCATGTGAGCAAGACCTCTGCCCCAAGGGCCTGTGGGCGGAGCACGTGGGGAGCTCCCCGGTGGGAGGCCTGGGACCCCGGTGGGAGGGCTCACTTCCCCTTTGGCAAGTGTCCTGTTGTCTGCTGGGTTCCAGGAAGCGTGGGCCCAGGCCAGCTGGCAGTCAGTCTGCGGGGTCCGCCGTGAAGCATAGTCACAGCCAAGGGGGTTCATCGATTGAGCCTGTGGGCGGGAAAAGCAGCGAGTGAATGACAAGCTGGGCTGTCTGCGGGGTCGATCCGTTTATTGCTCAGGGTGGTGGGGCAGGGCCATGTCCAATCAGCTCCCAGAAAACCAGATGTCCAGGACCCGAGGAACACTGTCTAGCGGGGTGGGATGGTGGTCACCCCAGAGGTTCAGGATTCTGGCCCGTCTCCTGGTGTCCCTGGGATTTTGGGGGCGAGTGAAGAGCTTTGCACAGCGGTCACTGTGCGACGCATGAAATGTACAGATGCAGCAGCCTCGTCATCGCCACCAAAGGGTGGGCAGGAGGAGGGGTCTGCCCCGGAAGCCGCTGACCCAGGGGGAAGACACGGGGAAGGACACGGGCCCCGTGGGGGGACCGGAAGCACATCGGAGCATCCTGGCGGACACCCGTGGGTAGGGAATGGGTCAAACCAGCATTAAAAAGGAAAAGAAAGAAATTAAGGTGCTAGAAATCAGAACGTCCCCCAGTCACACTAGTGACTGTCATCACGGGCGGTGGTGATCTGTGCTCTGAGCCCACGTGAAATGTGTTCACTGCGTCGTCCGCTCGAACTGCAGGCGACTCTGCTGAAGGGGCTGAGACCAGTGAGCCCGACGGGCCGGGCGACAGGAACTGGAAAGTCACCATCAGCAACTGAAGTGGACTCTGGGGGCACCGGGAGCCACGGGGCCCGCACAGAGGCAAGATGCGCTCTCTTGTTGCTGATTCGTGCCCGAACTTCCTCTGCAGGCAGCTACCACCTGCCAGGTGAGACCGCTGTTACTCTGCAGGTGGGTATGGTTGTCCCCAGCTTACGCAGGTGGAAACGGTCTCCCGAGGGCCGCAGCCACGTGCCCTGCTGCGTCTGTGACCCTGGGACCCAGCGTCCCCTCTGCCCTGGGTTGGAGGGTAAAGACCCACCAGGGCTGGGGGCCGCTGCAGGTGCTCCGGGTGCCCGCTGCCCCTCCCTGGGGAGGGGGGAGGCTGACGCAGGGGCGGCTGGAGGCTGAGGCGGTGGTGGGGGGAGGGGGGAGGAGGAGCCCAAGTCCCTGAGTTTCGATTTCCTGCCGTGTGGAGGAGGGAAGGGGAAGGGAGAGGGAGTTGTCTGGTGCTCCGGGTCCGCTTCTCCACCCTGGCCTCTGCCCGGGTCGCCGTGGGGAGCCGGGCGTGACGCCAGCTGGCTGGGCACACTCTGGTCAGGACTTCAGACTCTGCGTTGCAGTCCCCGGGCGCTGCCCCCCCATTCCCCGTGTCTGCCCACAGAGGGGGTCCCTAGAGAGTGACCAGGTGTGTGCAGTGGGCTCCCTCTGGTGGGCCGGGGGGCTCACGGCAGACCTGGAGAGCCCCTGCCCCTCCTAGGCGGTTCTGTCTCCCGGAGGCGGGGCCCGTCCTGTCTGGCGTCTTCGGGTGGGTGGAAAATCTCACATCTGGGCAGCAGGCGGAAGGTGCTGGCTGAGGGCTGAGGGTAGAGTGAGCACCACCAGCTCTAGGCGTGGGGGTTCGGGGCGGCCAGGATGGCGGGGGGCAGGGAGGACTCAGAATTAGCCAGTGTGGCCATTGTCCCCTGGGCACCCACCTGTGGCATCAGGCGGCCAGGACCCTTGCCAGGGCGGGTGGGGGGCTCACAGCAGGGCCCAGGGGTCCTGAGCCTGTTCACAGCCGCCGTTCAGCTTTCCCGCCTCCCAGGCATCGGTCTGTCCTGCCTTTGCACAAGGAGGGTCTCCCGGAACCTTCCTTGACGTCGGGCAGGAAGGCCACTGTCCCCTGGGCACCCACCTGTGGCGTCAGGCGGCCAGGACACTTGCCGGGGCGGGTGGGGGGCTCACAGCAGGGCCCAGGGGTCCTGAGCCTGTTCACAGCCGCCGTTCAGCTTTCCCGCCTCCCAGGCATCGGTCTGTCCTGCCTTTGCACAAGGAGGGTCTCCCGGAACCTTCCTTGACGTCGGGCAGGAAAAGCCCGCCCCTTTGGCAGAGCCGGCCCCCTTCCCCAAGGCCTGTGAGGGCACTCGTGCTGGGGGGCGCTCTCACCCGGGGCCACGCCCCTCCCCCAGCCCCCGGCTCCTCTGCTACCCACCCCCAGCCGCAGGACGCCTCCTCCAGGAAGCCTGTAAGCCAGTGGGGACACGGCGGCAGCCAGAGAAAAGCCGCCATCTGTCCCGAGGCCAGGGATCAGCCAGAGGGGTCCCTGAGCGCCAGGCCCAGTTTTCACCAGGCAGCGGGGCTCAAGGCAGAAGCCCTGGGACGCTGCCCGTGGGAGGGCCCCATCCACACTCACTCCGGGTCCCACATCGGCAGTCCCGGTGACCACGGGAGGGACAGCGTGGAGCATAGGCCAGGGTCCAGGGCTCCGGGCCTGAGCTGGGAGGCAGGGGGAGGGGGCCAGGAAAGGGGTTCAGCCTGGAAGGGTGCGTTCCAGTCACCTCGCCTGCACAGCATCTGGGGTGGTCTGGCTTGGGGCCACTCTGGGCCACTCTGGGCCACTCGTTAGAGCCTCTGGCTGGGTCTGCCCGGAGGTGAGGGCATCCTGAGGTCTCCCCCGAACTCTCACACACCCCCATCTCGCCGGGCTCCCTGTGCCACCGGCACTTGGCCCAAGACCTTCCTGGCCTGGGGTCTGGGCCACTGAGGGTGGGGGGTGCCCAGAGGCTCTGGGCCTGGGGAGACGGGGGTTCAGACTCCCTCCCAAGGGACCCTCCACGCCTCCCTGGAGGCCAGGCAGAAGCAGGGGGCTGGGGGCCTGACTCTCTCCCTGTTCACATACAGCCTGTTGACCTAAAAAATAATAAAAACAGCGAGTGATTTTACCAGTGAAATGGGTTTATTGAGGAACAGCGATTGGGGTTATGCGAGCTGTGGCAGAAGCTCAGGCAAGTCCAGACAGCAGGGGGGGCGGTGCTGCCTCCAGAGCAAAGCGGGCGCGGGGAGGGGCTGTCGCAAAGGAAATGTCCATCGGAGGACGTTCCAGCTGCAGCGGCCGCTGTCCACTGAGCGTAAATGAATCCGGACGCTTTGGCTAAAAAGGAATTAGATAAGGTTTATTCAAGGGTTTTAGGGTTTGCAAACCAGAAACACAGCTCGGCTACACCTACCGTGTTCCCAGGAAGACTGAGAGCTCTTAGGGTGAAGGCACAGCCTTGTCCTGCGTCCCTAGCTTCCGGCTCGGGGACGCTGTGTGAGAGCGCCCCCTGCAGGCGCCCGGCTCCCCGTGCGAGGTTTCCTTCAGGGGGTCTCGCCGGCCCTTTTCTCAGAACCACAGAGATTGGACAGGAAGGGACCTCGGCCTGCCTGCCGCGCTGTCTGTCGCAGCCTCCTTCGTGCCTGTGCGGCGGGGACCCCGCGCGTCCCGGCACGCCCCTCGTGGCCCTCCATGCGGTCTCCCTTCCCCCCCACCGCCCCACCCCTCGGAGTGGGTTGAGGAATCCCCGTTTGGGTTCCCCCAGGCCTGCCGAGAGCTGTGGTCCCCGCGGGACCGCAGAGCCACCCAGCAGAAGGGAAGGACGCGGAGAACTGTGGGGTTGAGCCCCCAGCCCCGCCTCCGCCCCTGCCCTCTGAGGACCCTTCAGAACCACCAAGGTCAGGGACAGAGCGAGGACGGGAGGAACGGTTGCTCCCCCTGCCATCCCTTTAGGTTCTTGGCTGAGACTCCCCCACCCCCCCTCCCATGAGAAAGACCAACAGTTGTTAACAGCAGGGATACCTCCCAGGATGCCTCCCGTGCCGCTGGGAGATGCCAGGACCACTGAGGGACTCCCCACAGGGCCCAAGCCACCACCCCCAACACCGTCTGCAGCTACAGACAAATGGGGGGGTGGGGGGGGAGTCAGATATGTGAGGTTCTCGGGAAAAGCACCAGAAAGGAGGGTGTGGTGGTTACACAGCTTTCCGTCCAGGCCTCCAGCTCTGGCGAGGCTTCCTCGAGACTCCGTCCTTCCCCTTCCCTGCAGAGGGAGCCCCCTGAGGGATGACAACGCCCTTTACGAAAGGGGGACCTCTGCTCAGAGCTGCTCCTGTCCGCGCCGATTCTTACCAACAATCACGTTAAAACAAGAGGCATTTCTGGGGTAACAAATTCTTCTCCCCTTTACCCCTAGAAAACCTGGATGCATCAGCTTCATCCCTTTGCCGACGCCTCCCCCTCCCCTGGGCCTGCGCCCCTGTGCTGATGTGGGTCCACCGGGGACCCTGCACCCCAATATGTTCATCGGCCAAGTTACCTTCTTTTTTAAAGGAAAGAAGAAACTCGCTGTGTTAAGGGTGGAAAATTTTCAAGTGAGCCAACCAGTTAAGTCAGCTACAGGGAAGAAATGTCTTTAGATATCAGAAGTTGTCCTACTGGCTTGTGTGTGGTTTAGCAGGTGTATTGTATAGGATATGAAGATGGCCAATGTCTGCTTCTGTGATCCATTTACTTGTTAATTAAGAGTGTTGTTCCAGGCAAAGATATGCTAACAGCCAACTTCCGCTTCTGTGATCTGCTGGCTTGTTCAGGAGACACCAGGATCTGGCCTTAAGCGTTATCAGCTGCCTGCTCTGGAAGCTCAGGCCGATCTCCTCCAGCCCTGCGTGGCGGAGAGTCAGTCGTCAGCCGGCTAATAAAGGCTCATAATTAATCTCAATTTGCTCCGTGGGTCTCAGAATCGTCCGCGCCATAACAGCTGTTGGTGTCACATGTGGCTAAAGACCTTCTCACGTCGGCTGGACAGGAGGCTGACGCCTCCCATGAGGTCAGGCTCCCCCGCTGGGGAAGCGGGGCTCCATGCACAGAGCCTCAGGGTATCAGCAGGGAAGAGGGCTGAACTCCAGTGACCTGGAGGGAGGGGTTTGTCCCGTGGGCTGGAGAGGAAACAGCAGGGCTCGGAGCCAGCGAGGCGCTGGCGGTCAGAGCCAGGGACGGACCGCCCAGGCTTCCCGCCTCAGAGGCCCTGCCGGGCTCCCCCGACCCCCGCCCGCCCGGGAGGCCCGCCTGGCTTCTGTCCTGTCCCTCTCCCCTCCCCCCTGTCCCACCCGAGGGACCCTGTCCACATACATACCACGTGCACATTCTGCTCCTCGGGGAGAAACCAGAAAACCAGGGAATGGGCCAGGGTGGGCCACACGGGGGGAGGGGGGGCTCGGGTGACCGCGGACCCCCTCTGAGGTTCTGACAGGAGCAAGGAGAGCTGTGAGCAGGGCCCACGCTGTATCCCCCACCTCCCCACCCCCACACCTGCCCCACTGGAGAAGAGGGGTCTTGTCCCTGGAGAGGGGTCTCCCACATGGAAAACTCGGAACCAGGCCCTTGGCGGATCCCAGTAGCGTGGGGAGGAGGCAAGAGAATTAAAATGCTCATCGAGCCTCACTCAGAGGCTGCCCCTTGCTGGTCAGCCCTGCAGCCCACAGCCCCCCAGGCGGACGCCTGCGGGACAAAGGGAGGCTTCTGCTGGGGTCGCCAATAGCCCGTTCCCCACACCCTGAAGAGGAGACGGACCAAGAGTCATTCCCTGCGGCCGAAACCACGGTACACTCGCGTCGAAGGCTGGGCACGGCCAGCAGGCCTCTCTCGCTCCACATTCTTACCTTTCCACCCACATCCTCGCTCCCTTCCTCACCGCGTGTCCACAGCGAAGGAAACGGGGAAGCAGAGTCTGTAAACTGTAACTCAGGAACGAAAGGACGATGTGTGAACTGGGGTCCCCGAGCACTCGGGGTCCCTCTCACTGCCTTCCCACGTCTCCCTCGGTCCCCGTCCCTCTGCCTCCGAGAGGAGTGCACGCTCTGTGGAGTGTGACCCCTTCTCCAATAAACTCTCCTTTGGACTCGAACTTCGGTGTGTGGGTTGAATTCTTTCCACACTCTTCCAAAGGACCCTCCTCTTCTCTGGGTGCGGGGCTTGGTCCCCCACACTCTGAGACATTTGCCTTGTCCTGCATCGCCAGGGCCGGGAGTGGGGCGCAGGAGAAGAGAGCCCCGCAAACAGCTGGTCCTACCCACTCAGGTGCCTGGGGGGCTTGAGAGCGATAAGGAGGAGATTCCGAGATGCTCTAAACGGCAGTGCCTGGAGGGACAAGACGAGGAGCTAATTGGTTAACAGAAGAGGCTCGGCCCTTCCTGCTGCCCGCTCGGCTCGGGTTACCTAAGGCATTAGCTACAAACCCCAGGAGCCGCTCCTTCTTGTTCACACAGGAACTTTCCAGACCTCGCCCTTAGGGGATTCTAGCGTGTCCCACAGCTGGCCCTGCTCCACATTCTCTCACGCCTTCGTCTGCACGCCCTGGAGATTCTTCTAGACGGCTTCCTCTTTCTCCCCTACCCGACGCATAAAAAAAACTTGTCACCTCCAGGGCTTGCAGACACCCTGCCTCCCAGCCCGGCACTGGTGCCGGCGGCCGAGTCTCCACGCCCCAGGACCTGGCCCTGTTTTTCTTGCTCGCAATGGCCCAACAAACCCTGTCTTTTAAAAAAGCTTTCGGCCGCGGAAGTTTTTTGTTTTAAAAGACATGCAGAGTCCGTGCTGGGTGTCCGGGCCCCGTGGGATGGGGGCCACGTGATAGGTGGGGGGGAGGAGGAGGGCAGAGCTGGACAGGGGACAAGGAAGACCCAGCAATGTGGCGGGGGCGGGGGGGAGGAGAGGGCCAGA